CATAAATCTAAATTCGACATAATCTTATCTTTCAAAAAAAACTCGTCATGATCTAACCTGAATGTTAATTTAGCTATTTTGTTGATCTATTTCAACTTTGGCCCCTTGGGTTAGTTCCTTATATGGATATATGCTCGCAAAATACATGTCACAATTGAGTTGTGATAAAGCTAGTTTGCTAACATATCGTTCTTATTATATAATTTTTATATTAATGTTGATGATGTTTATTCTTTACCATAGATATTAGTATTTATTTGTATCTATAATTTTTCTTCGAGATGTTTGATTAGGTTTTAAACCCTTTCATCATATGGTTTATTTTTATTTTTTTAGTGATTAGTTTATGTACTTTGATAGTATCGAGAGAAATGAATATATAATGCGACTAATTTACTCTAATTTTTATAATTTACTTTTTTATTTTATTATATTTTTATATGAAATCAAATTAACGGTTAATATCCTTAATATTATTAATTAAGAAAATGGAACGTTGAAATTTTGGTTCTTCTCACTCTAGGACGACAATTATCCCATGGGACATGTTATTCCTCCCTTCTTCGACACGTGCGCCTTCCCATCTTTAAAACCAGGCGGACCAATGTCATGTTAATAACGTTGTAAGAAAATGAACATGCTGAACCATTTTATGGACAAAACTAACCAATCCAAGACCAACACCTATTTAAAGACTTTACCCAATTCATCCTTCCAATTTTAGTAAAAATGGCCCTCGCCTATTACTTAATTTCTTTTCCCACCGAAGTTTGTAAGCTTTTAAATTTCATTTTTTGCCTGCTCCATTAATAACCCCAACAAAGTTCTGTAGCTCACCATTTCTTTGGTACGTGTAATGAGAACAACATGAATCGTTGTACAATTTTCATTATACGAGATAAAGATGTTGAGCTCCTTAAATTGTTGCAAGTGGGAAGCACCCATCACCATTTTTATTCTTTTCTTTCTTTGATATACATTTTATTTTGTTCTTATTAAAAGTTTGAGATGATTATAAAATATAATCTATTCATAATTTTATTAATCTATTAACAGTATACATCTTAAAAATGTAATTATTCGAACTCGAGTCATCTAGAAAGAATAATATTTTCATTTATCAATAATTTTATAAAAGAATTAGTCAAAAATAAGTTGCTTAGTAGAGGTTTATAACGATCAACTTAAATTCTAAAGTTTGATGATTATAGTTAGTGGGAAGGGAGGAAAGTTAGGTTTAGCCCTCCTTTCTTTTGCCCTATTTGTCGGGTCTCCTATGAAATTGCACCTCTTTACGCTTTTTAGAACTTGGTGGATTTCTTAGTCCCCACGTCTTAACGTGCTTATAATTTTTTATCCAATTAAAAGAATTAATCTTTTTAGATGTTATAAAAATAAATTTAGTTTTTTATATTTGTTTTTGTATTAAACTAAATTTTATTATTATTTTAGATAAATTTGATTTTCAAATTATAAAATATATTTTTTAATATTGATGTGACATTATTTATTTTATGACATCAATAAATAATTTAAAAATAAAAATATTTAAAATTTAAAAAAAAATTATACAAGATGTATCTGGACTGTTAGATGAGTTTTCATGTCAATGATATCAAAATTTAAACATTTTAACTAATTTTTCCGTTAAAGAATCACGAATGACCCTGAAGAATTAAATTTAACTCAAGAAAATGAAGACTAAAATGACAAAACATTAATATTAATTTAATTTTATAAATAAAAAATAGTTTTAATTCATTTATACACATTTATACTAATAAATAAATCTGCATAAGTATAATTATCTTTTTTAAAAAGATAAATTGCTTAGCCTTCACCTAATCGGATAATGCACAAATCTCTTTCACATAATATTATAAAATATTATAACAATTATTATTATTATTATTATTATTATTATTATTATAAAAAGATTCTTTTTGTGCTACCTTGTAACCATCACATCCACTGATTTTCGTAGCATTCTTTGTTTCTTCGGACCACTCTATGATGGATAATCACCACTCACCTAACTAAAAGAGAATTTTATTTAATGTTTCTTTGAAGAAAGTTCAAACTTAAGAAAGGTCATTAATAATCTTAAATATTGACATTTGGACCACCTTTGTAATTAAAACTTACTTTTTTATTCAATTTTTTAATGTTACGTTGTCCTCTTCAAAAATCATTTTTATTAATATTTTATATACTTCTTAACATAAATGAACTCAAATCTCAACATTTACAATTTATTTTTTTAATAAATATTTTCTAATAAAAATAAATAATAAAAACTGCATTCTAATTCTTTTTTTCCTCTATTGATCATGGTTAATCACTATAATATATATTTTATTTACTAAAAAAAGTAGTCACATAAACTAGAATTCAAAAGTAGTATTGAAATCTTGTTGATTTCTTGATCTGGGATGGACGTATGATTTTATGTTAAGATGAATTTTAGACAAGACAATTTATAAAATTTTAAATGTATAAAAATATATTATTAATAAAAAATATAAAAAATATTTAAAATATATAATAATCTGAAATTTTTAAAGACGATTGTACCGCTCGTTTCCCTCAATCAATCTTTGCTGTCGACTACTAACCATGTTCTCAAGCCTCAATGATGGGGATTTAGTGCTTGTTACTTATGAAACGCCAACACTCAACCACCCTTATCCATAGATTTAATTATTTTTATGCTTGCAAATTGCTTAGGGATTGATTCATACATCATTAATAGATTTTTATGTTTTTTTAATTAATAGTAATCAAATTAATTATTTGATGATTATTTATGGCACAACTCATATTTTTTTGGGTTTCTCAGCTAGTTCTCAAGGCTTATCTCTTACTAATCCGATAGACCCGTGTCGTATACTTAATTTTGGTGGGTGAATCTCCTAGCGATAATTTTCTGCATACACAAATATTTGAACTCAAGACTTATTTAAATGATATCAAACTACTTACCACTTGAATAAACTCTATTGAACACAACCCATATTTTGAAACCCAAAATGTCACTCTACAATTTTTTGGTTCAATTTAATACTTACACATTTTTACCAATAATTATTATATTTGAAATAAAAAAACTATATCGCATAAATTTCAAAATGATTTAATACTTAACGTTGTTTTCCTTGCATTACTATTATAAGTTAAAATTGATGCTTTTGGTCATTTTCTTCCCCCATTTCAACATCACATGGGATGATTCTTAAATGCTACGTTCTCCCTTCAACTATACTATACATCAAAGAGTCTATTTGAATGATTTTTTAGATGCAAATTTATTTACGGAATTCAAATGTATGGCTTACTTTTTTATGATATGACTCTGTGTTGAAGAATTATGGATTATTCAAAGTAGTTGAATATATATATATATTTTCTTCTTCCAACTTGCTTTACCGATGTGTCAAGAAAGTTGACAAACCTTAACCACTAGTCTTCTTTGGTTCCAAATTTCAAATTCCATGAAAGGGAATTCTCTCTCTTCACTTTTCAACGAATTCAACATCGGAGGACAAGTCGCCGATCATTTTGGAATTTGGAGTGAAAGCAATGCCTCACCAAAACATTAATCAAACAACCACCTTAAATTATAAATGATGCGTTCCCATACTTTGTCAACACCGAGGCTTTAGATGTTGAGTATTTGGGTTCAAATCTCATCATTACATCATGTATAGATTTTCAGCTCAAAATTATTGTAGTTTAAGTGCGAGTTATATTTAGATATATTTCAATTATCAATTTGTTCATTTATGCATTGTAATGGTTGATTCTGGTTATAGTTATATAAATATTTTTATTATATTATATCGAATAATTTTGACTATAATCACATAGATTTATCATGTTAAACCATAAATATAAAATATTATATGTAAATGAATTCATTATTCGAGATTGTCTTGAAGGTTTTGTTCTTATAAAAAAACAAGTTTTCTCATATTGTAGAATATTTTGATGGGGATGATGAAAAATACAATGTAACTTGTTTTCTGATGATCAATATCTCTTTGATCATTAAAATATTTCTAAATATTTATAATTTGACTCTCATTAAATTATAAATACAACTTTTAGTATCTACATTATTTTTATGATACTTTACTACATAAAACATTTAAAACATAATTAACTATTTAATTATGTATCATACTTTATAATAACATTATATATATACATACCGAATGTACCTTCTCCCAAACTTAAATATGTTGCACATTCTTATAACTGAGGGAAAATAAATTCCAAAAGAAAGGTACATTCGGCCATTTGTTTATGACTTGATTTCATATTGCTTAACTTATTTGCCATAAATTTGAAGCATGCAAGGAATTAAAGAAACAAATTTCATCCAAATGATTAAGGTCAAAACTTTTAACTGAGGTGATTACAAGGTATATCCTACATATGTAGCTTACCCGAATTTAGAATTTCTAGAGAGAACAACATCTTCTTTAACTATTAAGGCCACTTAATATGTTCTTTTAACAATCTATAATTAAACGTATATGTCTTGGTGATGATTTATAAACCCAAATTTATAACACCATATATATTTTTTAAATTAGTTGTTAAACTTTAAAACATTTTAATTGAGTCCTTGAAATATTACTATTGTATCAATTATATCCCTGTGTTGGCCTAATTGTCAATTCAATCGTTAAATGCCTATTCAAATACTTAAGTCCCACTATATGTAAGAACTATAGAATCTGAAGTTTGAGACTAATTATGTGTAATTGTGTTTGTACTTCTAATTGTACTCGTAGCACTTTAAAAGTCATAAATACAGCAAATCGAATTATAAATACATATATATCTACCATCACAAGAGATCTGAATTTAATGTGTTAAAGAAACAAAACTAAAAATTAAATTTAGAGAATATTTAAATTTTAATTATATGAATTAAGTGTTATACAAATCCAAGTAATTAAAAGTTACACGTCAATAAAAAAAAGTTCATTCACAAATAATAATAAGTGCAGTCCTACGGGGAACTGCAAACTTTTTTTTGTGGGTCACCAAATTGTGGGTGATTTCTTATAACATGTCTGAAAGTTAAAATGGGTGCATAATTAATTAGGGTTGATTCAGAATTCCATAAGACGCCAAAATTCCTCAGCAGCCAAACAAATGTTTATGGGATTACCACTTGATGTCTCTCACTTGGAACAATGAAATCCAACATTATCATTCTCTGTTGCCACATACACCACACTTGTTCTTGTAATTTAAGAATGGTGAAGAACATAATTAGGACTGGTTTGTTTCAATGAATTCGGCTTTTTAAACGAACTCGTTGGCCCAAAGTTGTCCAATTAAGGAACACCACAACTACTTTTTTTCCCCTAAAATCATTGTCTATTTTGTTTTTCTTACCACTTTTGCTTTCATTGGAATGCTGAATTTTCTGACTCATTTTTCAAACATTCAATTAAAACTTTAAATTATGTGTAACTTCAAAAGCAATGGCAAAAAAGGCAATGGGTCCAGTGGTGTTAGCTGAGAAATGTGGGACTCGACCAACTTCTTTGGGGGTCTAATTTTGTTTCTTGTTTTATATGGAACATGTATACTACTTAAAACTGTCCCTCTTTTACAGGTAATTTCGTTTCTTTACTCCATCAAAGTGTCTACTTTGTTGTTTGTATAAAGTGAAATTACTACATGGAAAATACTTTTTACGCTCTATTTCAATCTAAAAAATATATATTTCTTGACACCTATAGGATGTTTCATTATGTAGAATAATGGGATACAAATTCGAAATTATCTGAATTTAATAATCTTATTCTATTAAGTCAAATCTAAATTTAATTTAATTTAATCAAACTCAATTATAAAACGTTAATATCTTTATGGGTTGTGTTACATTAATTTGTAGGTAAAAGTAAAAAAGCAAATTGGGTAATAAAACTTTTGTTGATAAATATCCCATTTGTTGCATTCAAAGGGTAAGAAGTCAAATAACATGAGCACCTAAAGTTTGATGATAATAATGAAATGAGCTCACACTTTGACATTTATAATTTGTGTTTTCTGGTTTGGCTTTTCATTAACTAAGTTACTTTCTAAGGATTCATATGTCAACTAAAGTGTAGATATGAAAGGAAATCATCCACAATATACCCCTAACGTAAGCTAACAGTTAGGTGAAGTAAAATCATCATCTAATAAGCTTTTCATCTCAATGGATACGAGAGCTTCAGGCATGTTTGGTGAGGGGAAAAGAGATGCTTATCTTTTCACCGGCTTCACGGTTTTTGTTAACAATGTCAGTAAAAGGATTCACGTCTCCACTCTTAAGGCATCGTTTCAGGTCTATGGTGAGGTTTTGGATGTGTTCATTGCGTATAAGAACCGAAAAAGACAATATGTTGGATCAACGTTTGCGTTTGTTAGGTTCAGAAGCAAATCTGAAGTAAATAATGTTGTTTTTAGAGCGGATGGTAGGGTGATGGACGGGTTCAAGATCATAGTGTTCCATGATAAAACGTCTGGCAGCCCAAGGATGAGGGTAGATGTTGATAGAAGGGTTCAAAAGGTTTGGAAGCCAGCTTTTAGGGATGCTAGGAGTTTCAAAGAAGTGCTTGGAGGTGTTCAGGTTGCTGGGGGTAAGACTTGTGAGAATTTTGATGGTCTTCAGGAGGGGTTCTATAGAAGTTATGATGTTGTTGTACATGTTAATTTTGCCGAAGATGGGGGAGCCAGATCTTCTACAGTTGCCGAGGCTACATACAAGAATATTTTTATCCCTAAGAAGGAGTTACCATGGAGAAAATCTTGTTTAGTTGGCAAAATTAAAAACAAGTTTAATGAATATATTATCCAAACAACATTTAGAGCAGAAGGTCTGGATGTGAAGGTTAGCATCTGGCATGATCTGATGTTGGTTATCCAATTTAGTAATGAATCCGATCGTCTGGCTTGTTGGTCAAAAAGAGAAGATTGGATTCGTTCATGGTTTGATGAGTTGGAATTATTGGAAGGTCATGAGAACAGAGTTAAAATTAAAGTATGGGTCTCTCTGAAGGATGTTCCCCTTTATATCTGGAGTGAAAAGTTTTTCAACGATATTGGAAGCATGTGGGGTAGAGTTCTTCTGATAGACAAAGAAACTATTAATCGAGATAGGTTTGATGTAGCAAGAGTGTTGTTAGAAGTTCAATCCGAATCTTTCATCCCTGAGAAAATCTTTATAATTTTCAATGGATGCTTTTATTATATTAAAATTCTTACTGAAGTGCAGGAATAAGCTAGAGCTTTCATTGATGGTACTATAGTGGGGGTGGAGAGTGTTGTGTGGATGTCGAATAAGAAACATGTTCTCCATTATTCGAGTATGAGCGTGCTATAGGCGTTGGTACCAAGGGAGGTTCGTATGGGCAGGAGCATAATGCTTTGGTTAGCCAGAGGTGCGATTATAATAATGATTTTTTGATAGGTGGGTCAGTTCATACAGAAACCAACATGGAACTGGAAGGTGTGGGTGCCTCTGATGAAGGATTGCTCGATGTTCCCATTATTTCTAATATTGGGCCACCCGAACAATATGCTTATGATGAGAACGTTGGGCTTATAGCTATTAACATGGAATCGGATTTCATTTGGGAGACCCAATTGATTTCTAATATCTCAAGGCTTTTAGATGTCCCAATTGATGAGGTGTCTTCCTTACGAGTGATGGATGAGTTTTATTCTACTGATCATTGTGGTATTACAATTGTAAATCCTCTCAATATGATCAAAGAACCTATAAATTCGTGTAGGGATATTTTACCAAAACCAACTTCGATTGGGGTGAATCAGACCAGCCTTAATTTCCTCAAGATTAAGCAAGGTGAATAGGAAAAAACAGGGAGTCAAGGGTCGAGCTAAAGGGAAGATTGTTAGTAGCAGAGGGAAACAAAATAGATTAAAAGTTGGGAATCATGGTGGTGGCAAGAAGAGCACAACCATTGAAGCGGATGAGGCCCTAGCTGTTGCAGAAGCTTTGGGAGTGGAATTATCAGGTCCGAGAGGGGTTGTGCTGAAGAGATTGGAAGCGATTGAGGAATTGGGTTAGTCTATTTTTGTTGTGCGCACTGCATGCGTCTATCTTTGTGGGTGTTTCAAGCTTATGGTAAATAATATATATGTTTTATCTTGGAACGTACGTGGTTTAAGGAAACTTGAAAAAATAAGAGATGCTCATAGGGTAATCGTTACGAGTAAAGTTAATTTGATCTTGTTACAGGATACTAAAGTGACTGAGTTAAGTGGGTTTCGACGAAGAAGATTAATAGGGAATTTCGCTAAGGAAGTAGTTTTTGCTCATGCTGAAGGGGCATCGGGCGGGCTGATTTTAATGTGGGACAGGGATTTGTTTGACGTTAGTAGTATATCCATTCATATGAGAGTGATAGCTCTTAAAGGGAGATTGGTTTCGACTAACAGGGAGATTGAGATTATCAATATTTACGGGCCGAATGTGCAAGGGGATAGAAGATAATTTTTTGAGCTTTTGAAGTATATTATTTCTAATTGGAGTATTCTGATCATAGTAGAGGTGATTTTAATTTTGTTAGGTGGAAGTCTGAAAGAATAGGGGCTCAGGATTATGCACCTACGTCGAGGATTTTTGAAGAGTTAATTCATGATTGTGATCTGATTGAGGTACCTAATCATGGTAGCTTGTTCACCTGGTTCAGGGGTAGTTGGAATGCAGTAGCTAGTAGGCTCGACAGATTCCTGATCTCTACTGAAATTTTCAGTATGTGCCCCAGTTTGGTTCAATGCTCACTACCTAGGGGATTATCAAACCACAATCTGATTGTTTTGAAAGAGAAGATGTCAAGCAAGTGTAATAGACCGTTTAAATGGTTCAATTATTGGGCGGAAGACTTTACTTTGGTAAAAAAAATTAGTGATTTATGTGTGGTTATAGGTATAAACAATTTGTTGTTGTTGGCTAAGAATGCGACCAAGATCAGAGAGAGAGAATTTAGAGAGTTGAATCTTGACTCCGAGGAAGAGATTGGTAAAAAGATTGATTCGTTAGAAGAGAGATGGTTGTCGGATCCTTGTAATTCTCAGTTACAGGCAGAGATTTCCTCGTTGAAGGCTAGATTGTGGGATATTGCTAGGAAGGAAGAACGTTATTGGTTACAAAAATCTAGGCTAAGGTGGTTCAAACAAGGCGACAAAAATACAAAATTTTTCCATCTCTCAGCCGTTTCTAGAGGTCTAAAAAGTCAGATTTATAAGCTGAAGTTTCAGAATTCGCTTTACAAAAATCAGGCCGGAATTCAACAAGCTTTTGTCAATTATTTTTCTACTGGTTATAATGAGGTGAAGACAATCCCATTGAATAAATTTGACATCCCTCTAAAGAGATTAAATGTTGCCACCAAAAGGTTCATTGAGAGTCATTTTTCGGAAGAGGAGGTTTGGTTGGTCATTAAGTCATCCGATGGTTCAAGAGCGCCTGGTCTGGACAGATTCAACTTAGACTTTTTAAAGAAATTTTGGCAGTATATTAAAGGAGAAGTTATGATTTTTTTGGAGGATTTTTATTTGGGCAGAGTATAAGAGATCTCTTTTAACAAATCTTTCATTGCGCTTATTCCAAATAAAGCTGATACTATTTCCCCGGATGATTTCAGACCAATTTCCTTGGTGAGCAGCTTGTATAAGATCGTTTCTCCAGTATTGGCGAAAAGGATGAGTAGTTTTCTTACTGATGTGATCGGAGAGAATCAGTTCGCTTTCATTGCTATTAAGCAAATTGCTGACTGCAGTTTGATTGCCAATGAAGTCATTGACGGGTTATCGAAGAGTAAGAAAGAAGCTGTGTTGATCAAGGCAGATTTTAACAAAGCTTATGATACGGTTGATTGGAAGTTCTTAAACATGATTCTCAAGAAAATGGGGTTCGGTAGAAGATGAAGAAATTGGGTTCATTTTTGTATTTCTACTCCTTCTATTGTCGTCCTAATTA